GGGGGGGGTGGAAAGGGCTAGGAGCTAAGAGACTGGAACGTGAGTAAAAGAAAGGATAGAGAAGGTGATGAAGAGTGTGACAGAGGTTGCCTCTACGTTGTACACCCCCTCTGGCCTTCAAAGTCCACGCACACTTTCATACTGGCTTCTCATCCCACAAGTCCGCTTCTCGGTGTCACCCGGGAGGAGGAGGATTGACCTGGCCCAGTCCAAATGCTGCCAGGAGGATTGGATGATCCTGCTTAGGCAGGGTGTGCTGTGAAGCAAGCTAATGAGAGGCCAGTGTGTGTGTGTGTATGTGTGTGTGTTGGCTGGCTTTGCTAAGGGGCTCTGGGTTCAGCCACCCAGGGCAATCTGCCCAGTGATGCTGGGACACATGTGACCCCTTCAGACCTACGGCCTGGATTACTGTTACCATTACTACTATTGTGGATGTGTGCGTGTTTGTGCGCATGTACATGTTTCCAGGGAAGAAAGTTGCTTGTTTCTGCATGTGTTCCAACATTCAGAACTAGCTCAGCCCGCCACACGCGTTTAATCTCCTTCATCCTAATCATCAGCACTTTTAACAATTACCAAAATCCCAAAGTCACTTCTAAAGCCCCAGGGACTGGGGAAGTAAATTAGTTCTTTAGCTAACCCCAGCATATTTACAACACCGCTTTATAGCTGTTATGATGTTGATGAATGTGCACTGCCCCTGCCAAATAAACTTATAATCGAGTGATAAAATAATGAATGAATTCCGAGTGGAACAACAGTCCGTGACGCCTGCCAATTTCCTCACCTCTCCTGTGTGTGTGCGCTTATATGTGTGTGTGCGCACATCTGCCCTCCTGTGTTTACCGTCTCATTGGTGGCAGCGAGTGTTTAATGCTCACTTGCACGTGTAACGAAGGAGATACATTAGGACCACACACTCTTTACACACGTGTCCGACATAGATGGGAGGGGAGGTCGGGCCCCCTGAGGGTCATTTACGTGCATGTGTGCCGGCATCTGTTGGGAGCGTGTGAGCTTCAATAGATCTGTCTGCTCGCATGTATATTTTCACAGTCCGACTGCGTACCTGTGCATCCATCTGCCTGCCTGCAACGCCCCACAGAAAGAAAGAAAGAAAGAAATAAAGAAAGGGAAGGATTCGAGCCTTTGGCCGGATCGGCTCCCTTCTCCCTCCCCTGGCCTTTCCTTTCTGCCACATCAGCTGAAACCTCCTTTCACAGCTCCTGTTGCTCTCAGCTCGTAAACTTACACACACTCCTATTTTCACCAAGGGAGAGGGAGGTAGGAAGAGAAAAAGAGAGAGGGGAGAAGGGGGGAGCCATTGCCTGCTTTAACAGGCGGCTTGAGCAATGTGGTTCATATTGTTCTCTCCATTACATCCCCTCTCTTGTTTTTACACTCCCTTACTAAAATAAAAAAAAACCTACCCAGTGGATATTCTGTAATCATTTAGCCTAAGGATGCATGTAGGCTTACCAGGCTCCTGCTTACTTATCCACACAGCCCAGAAAAGCCTCAGTGCATGTATGCATTATTCATGAACGGGAAACCTACGGGTGGTTGTTTACGGGGTTGAAACCGGGTGTGGATCGAACATTCAAATGATCAATAAACGGGTGTTGGAATGCTGCTCCTTTGATATGACACCCTGTTTGACCCACTAACACTTATTCCACTCTCTGCGCTCAGTCCCAGAATGCCCTCGCCAAGAAGATTTCCAGTGATTTTTTTTTTTTTTTTTTGGGGGGGGGGGGGGGGTTTGGAGGCTCTCCAAAACTTACGTAATTCATCCTGGAATTCAAGTCAATTGAAGTTGTCTCCCAAGGTGTCATAGGAATGATTGTGCAAGTACTAAGTGATGCTACAAGGCTCTCACAGCTGAAGGTGGACTGACTAAAAGGCCTAAAGTCTTCACTGTACTCATTTTGTTACATTGGTCTGATGGTAGTCAGAAGCCCTTCCTCTAAATTTGATGCACACCAGCACAGACTTTGAGTGGATTGAAGAATTACTGATGGTCTTCTCACCAGTGTCACTTTTCAGCTGCTTGAAACTTTGATTTGGTTGCTGGATGGTGGAACAGTTCAGTCAGGTATTGAGTTTCCATGCAACTTAAACATCTTAGAAAGCAACATCCTGTGCCATAGTACTGAACTGGTTTATCCAACCTGGTCTGTCTTGGAGTTTTGACTCTTATTGGGCCTTTTTGATCAGGTTTTGAGCTCATTTCGTCTTCTGAATGCAAATCCCTATTGGCTACGTTCTTGATTCAGACATCTTACAGCTTGGACTATCACGAATTGTACCCTGAACTGAAGCGAAGCACTACCTTTCTACCTATGCAGCGCAACGCTGATTCAATGTTTTTGGTGTGACGGCACAAAACTGACCTTGTCTCAAGTGCTTAAACTGTGATGACTTGTTTGAATGTACCAAGTGTTTTTGTGTGTGTGTGTGTTGGTAATTATCTTTTGTTCCCTTGTTTTTGTCACTGAGGATTTTTTTTTGTTCACATTGGCACTATTCTGTTTCTGTATTGTAAACATTACCACCTTATTTTGTTTGTTGCGTTTATGTGCAATAATGACTTGCTTTTATTTAATTTATTTCACATTTTAGTTTTATTTTAGGGGTTCTCCCCACTTTAAGTTTGCTTTTTTATTTCTAGACTACATTGATCTGTGCAATAGATGGATTTAAGGGCCTTGAAGGAATGTGTCTGTGTGTACGTACTGCTTTTCAGCAGAAGGGGGAGCTATGGTATTGCAACATGAGAAATGTGCCAAAAATCCCATGACGCCAACATTTTACTCATGTTTAATTACCATTGCATTATAATAACTTGAAATTTTGCTAACTGCCTGTCCAAATGTTTTCCACCACTAGTTCTCATTTTTAAACATATCACTTATTCAGTAGTTTGACTTTTTATTTGGGTGCATTTTCTCTTGATAGGATGGACTGGGGAAATGCACCTTTTTAGAAATATTACTTCATGTCATTTCAAAAATAGTTGGTGCTACTTATTACCAGCAAAGTGCTTGTGTTTTGCCTTATATCTCCTTTTGATTCTGTTAAAGCAACAGGTTAACTGCCTTCTTAAATGACCAAATTTGCCCTTTTTCCTGTACGTAGCCAGCATTCTGTATTACCCATTTGTTTCTATAAGCACTGCCAGGTTTACTTGGCTTTTATTTTTACAAGCAGCTTCTAGGTGTATGCTCCAGGAGTAGACTCCTATTGCAGTTGATGATTGTTAGCATTAGCATCATGTCACATCTATAAATTATATATATATATTTTCTTTTTTTATTCAAAGATCATTATAAAGCGGTTGTATAAGAGATTTTCCTCTCCCATATTTAAGTCAATATTTCTAAGACAAGGTTTCAAAGCTACATAATTTACACAGCAATCCGTAAGAGGACTTGAGTTTGGGATGTCACAGACTCACCATTACAGAAGTTTTGGTAGAGCCATTAACAAAACCAAAATTTGGTGAAGTTGTGTTTCTGAAGTCTGATTACTGGACCACCCTGCATACCAAACTGATGGACTCAACATGATACTGTTAGCATATCCCCTTGTTGTCAGTGGGGCTTTTATTGAGCCGTCTAGAGGATAATTGATGGGTTGTTACATAACGCCACAAACCAAATCCCCTGCTCATATGTGTGTAATTAAGGATGGGTTGTGTGTAAATGACTGACATATAGATGTATACCTTGTTTTTTTTATGTAAGGTTTTTCTATTTTTTTAAATAAACATTTTAAAACTCCAGTTCAAGTTTAGTGTGTAAAGTTTGTGTGTTTTGTAATGTATGTTCACGCTTATGTTAATTGTGACAGCCACAAAGTACTGGCCATGGTTATTTTTGTATGGTAATGCAAAAAAGGGGTCTCAAACTCAAATTGGCTGGGGGCCACTGCTGGTATTTTCAGTTCATAGGAGGGCCACTTCAACGTTCATGTACTACAAGAAAATGCAATATTCTGAAAATATTTCCCTCACTAACATAATACTAAACAAAAAAAAATGTAATTTCTATACGTTTTTGTATCGTTATCTTTTTTTTGTCATCTTTGTTGGGAGCCAAACACAAATTAAGGCCAGAAACATTCTCTCTTCTTACCAACTGTTGTCACACATTTGCAGGCACATTTGACCTCTACCATAATTTTGTGTGAAACAAAATTTAAAAAAATTAAAATAGATTTACTTTTCTCCTATTTGAATATGAAGGTGTGGATTAAATTGTTATGAAAGAACTAGAAAAATAAATAAATTTGCCTTGTTATAACCCTTGGTTAAACACAAAGCATAACACTATTGTTTCCTTTGTGTAATTCCTCATGGTCTCTGATGGTGGCACTGGTGGATCATTGCCTGGTTTAGCTGTATCCAATCCATTACTTTTCAGATTGTCAGCAGGAAAGCAGAATGTGACAGAGGAGAGGTCTTCAAAATCACCCCTCTGAATGTTCAATCATGGGAGGGTTAGTAGCTGGAACCATTGCCATTTTATTCCAATTAAAACAGAAGAAAAAGTGTCCTCACCGAGACCCCTTTTACCCTTTTTTGACTCAGACTAGCTGACTAAAGCACTAGGAAATTAGATCCTGTCTCCTTGTCGTCATCCACTTTCTTGGATCTGTCTTCATTGATGATTAAATAGTAGTGATACTTTGGCACAGGCAATAGTTCATAATATTGTTAAAAGCTGCCTCTTTGTTCCTGAGGGACATATTAACCAGATTAGTCGGGCAGGGCAGCATTGATCCTATAATGAAATTCTGCAGACACAAATGCACGTGTGACATCCACACACACAGTCTCGTCAGTGTTCAGATGAGAAATCCAGTTGCCACTACGCAGTTGTCTA